AGACTCTTCATGAAGAAAGGAGGCATCAAGTGAAACATCTTGGTCAAGACCTGTTGACAGCATTCCTGTCTTCCTTCAGGATAAAATGCACGTATGGTGGATATTAGTATTGGAGGAAAAGAAAAGAAGATTTTGAAAGAGAAAAATAAACATAAGAAAAATACTGAATTAAATATAGCAAACACCTTTTACAAATTAAAGACTTATTTTCTTCTGTCACCAATAAAACCAGCACACTATTAAAAAAAAAAAGAAAGTTTTTCATTGTGTGATTAAAAAACTAAATGGAGAAGGCAGAGATTTAAACATTACCATAATTTATAAAAATGCTAAACAAGACTTTTTCAATTGCTGTAAATATAGAACAAAGTAAGTTGCAAGTCTGTCAAGGCTAGTTTAAACATTTTAAATTAGGTGCAGAAGATAAAGCAGAGGGGGAAATTGGATCCGGAGAATCATAACTACTTAAAAACTTTTCAAATTAGTTGAATAGTCAAGCAATGCTAGTTGTTGTTGCTGTGTATTGTCAAGTTGGAATAGACCCAGAGCTAACCGTTCACTATGTTTTCAGAAGCAGTTAATTGCTTGGGAGCAGATTACCCATCTTTCTCCTGCGGAGAAATTGGTGGATTTTTTTTTTTGCCATGTGTAGCAAAGATTCAATCTAAAGAATAAAGTGTGCCTGATCCAGTCCATGGTCTTCACATTTATTGTTAGGCATCAGAGAGCTGGATAATGACTAAAAATCACAGAAGAATTGATGACTTTGAGTTGTGGTACTTGAGAAGAACCTTGAACATGGACCACCAAGAAAACAAACAGGTCTGCCCTGTAGAGAATGAAACAAAGTTTCTCCTTGGAAGCTAGGATTTTGAAGCTCTGTCTTACATACTCTAAGCATGTTTCAAGGAGAGATCAATCCTTGGAGAAGAACATCATGATCAGAATGGTGGAGGGACAGCTCAGGAATGGAAGAACCTAGATGAGATGGATTGATACAGTGACTAGGGCAATGGAGGTAGGTGTGTCAGAGTCAGTGAGACTCGATTAGGACAGGGCAGGCATCAAAGCTATTTTACATAGCATGGCAACATTCTTGGTAATAGGAGCCAGAAAATTAAAAGACGGATTACATTGGGAAAGTCAGCTGTCAGGGACCTCTCCAAGGCACTGAAGGGCACTGATGACAGTATGAAAACTAAGATGCACCTGATTAAGGTCATGGTCTTTGCAAATACTTACAATGCATCAGAGAGCTAGACAATGACTAGTGATGATAGAGAGAGAATTGATGTCTTTGAGTTGTGGTGCTAGAGAAGAGTATTGAATGTACCATGGGCTGCTATTAGAACAAAGAGATTGCTCTTATAGAG